ACCAGCCGGAGAAGAAAGAACATGGCGGGCGCAGCGGGGCCCGGGACCGGCCTGGGGGCAGCGGGCGGAGATGGAGATGATTCGCTATACCCGATCGCAGTTTTAATCGACGAGCTCCGCAATGAGGATGTGCAGGTAATGGGCTGAGGCCGGGGAGTTGAGTTGGGCCCAGCAGGGAGTGTGGTTGGCGCCGCGATGGTGGAGGCCCACGGGTTGAGAGACTGAACTCGGAGCAGAAACTTGAGGGGGAGGCGAGGAAGGACTCTCGGGGGTCTATGATGGCCGCTCTCGACCGTCCTTGGGACCTCTCCCGTACCCTTTCCCCGGGTCTGTGAGGCGTTGGCTTGGTGCCCATCAGTGCCTGGCGACCGTAGGACAACCGGCTTCCCGTCTCCGTGCTCCTTCCGTGCTACGCCGCGTCCAGCGCTGGGCCGGCGTCTTGTGGATGAGCCGTCGCGAGCGACTGGGGCGGCCTGCGGGTCTCAGGATGCCAAAGGGGCCCGTTGAAGTTCAGTGTAATGCCTTCCTCGGTCTTGGAAACTGGCCGGGCTTGTTGGGTGGAAAGAAGGTAGGGATGGCTGATTAACCCAGATGAGTCGGTGTATCAGCTGCGATGAAATTTTTCTTTGAAAAGGCAGGTGTATTCAACCGTTTCATGTGCTTCACTACTGCCAGAGTTTGTTCTTTTTAAAATTATCTCAGTTCTTGAGTATTTTCATTCAGTCCTTTCTCTTATGGGCTCTTCAGTGTTTTGCCTAGGAAATCTTTATTTTTTATACCCGCGTGCCCTCATCTCAGATGTTTGCCCCTTTTGTTTTTTTTGGTCTGAATTGCAGTCATTTCTTAGTTTGTTCTTATTTCCATTTTCTTTTTTAAAGCTCCGTCTCAACAGTATTAAGAAATTATCAACAATTGCTCTAGCACTTGGAGTAGAAAGGACCCGAACTGAACTGCTGCCATTCCTTACAGGTATGTATGTGTCTTTGTTTAAAGAAAGGCATGGACATTCTATTTTCCAGTGACTTTCAAAACTTTTTTTTTTTTAGAGTTTGTTACCCAGCATATCATTAAGTACAAAATTGATCATGGTGCTTTCTGTGCGAAAGAAATAAAACATATTGTAATGTTAATAGCTAGGTATATTCAAACATTACTCATTCAGCTAGTGGGAAAGTAATTGATCTGGGAGTAAGATTTTTTAGTTCTGTAAAACATATTCATGAAGACTATTGATAAAGAATGAAGAAAATGCTGTTAGGATTTTGACTAGACTATCTTACTATCTACATGTTGACTCCGTTTCTGTTTTTGTGTGTGTCCTGCTTGGGGCCATCCTTCTATTCTTATTGATGAGTGTCTGGTTGTTGTCATTTCCAGATACAATTTATGATGAAGATGAGGTACTGTTAGCTCTTGCTGAGCAGCTGGGAAATTTTACTGGCCTAGTGGGAGGTCCTGACTTTGCGCATTGTCTGCTGGTAAGTACTTATCTCCTGCCTAGCCTCCTTCTAGAACTTTTGTGGTATAAATGACACATTGTTTGGTGATAAACACATCAGCATTTTTTATGCAGATCATTTTATAGGTGCATAATCATAATGTTAGCCATTGAGAGAATAAATAATTTCTTAATTTTTCTGACTGAATATAAAAACTTCACCTTTCTGCTTCTATAAACTTATTAGTGTAGAGGAGGGGAGGAAAAAGATTTGATTGTTTTCCTCATATTGGAAGCCTTAATTTCATCTAGCAACATTTTGTCTTTAATTGTTCTTGTAACTTTTTCTTCTGACTTTGTGAATTTGATAAGTTCTATTTAGTTAACATTTATGGAAAGCCTAGTGTGTAAGGCACATTGTAAGTTATAGTATAAAACCAGTATGAATTGAAAGAGGGTTTTGTCATTATGTGTAGACAAATTATTACTATACAGTCTTAAATTGGAAAATATAAACACATGTAAAGTACCCAAGTAATAGCAAAAGGGGATTAATTTAGCATCTATAGTTTCCTTCCACTATTCCCTCCCTCCCACTCCGGGAAGACTTCTTGGAAAATGATGTCTATGCTAGGTTTTAAAGGATGACTAGGAGTTCAGCAGTTAAACAAGGTAGGGATGTATGCTTCAGAGCTTTAAATATTGTCTATGTGAAGCTGGCTCTTGTGATTTTTTTTTTTCAACATGTAACCATATTATGGAACTCCAGAGATAAATGGATTAATAGACAAGTATAGATTTATACAGATCAGTAGATTTAGATATATACTATATATATTTCTAAGTATGTCTGCCTGTGATTTTTCTACTTGAATGTCAAATAGATACTTCAAACTTAACTGCTTAAAACAACTCAGTTTTTCCTCACAAATATGCCTCTTATTTAGTTATATCACCACAATATCACCACTATATCACCCAGCTACACAAGCCAAAATGTAGATTTCTTTTTCTTTTTCTTTTTTCAGTGCTGGAGATCAAACCCAGTAAATCATAGCTTCTAGTCAGCCACATGATCAGGGTACATAACTGATTTTCTACAGTGTGGTTGAACTGTGATTGTTTGGTAGGTTAGGTATATTCAAGGCATTTTCAACTTTCAGTATTTTCAATTTATGAAGGGTTTATTGGGATAATTCCTTTGGAAGTGGAGGAGCATCTGTAGTTTCCTTCCACTATTCCCTCCCACTCCTTCAGTTTATTTTTCACCTAACATATGTGTCACTCTGCTGTGGTTTCAGTAAAATCCAAATTCCTTAGCTTAAAAGACCTTTCTATGACCTGCCTCTATAGGCTTATCATACATCATGCTTCCTCTTCATAACTTCATTCCAGTCACATTGGTCTTCTTTTTCTTCAAATAAACCAAGATAATTATTGCCTTAAGACTTACTTTTAAGTATTTTCTTTATTCTATTTCTCTATGGAGTATCATTTACCTACCAACTGATTGTCATTCCTCCATTAGAATGTAAATTTCCCTAGAGTAGGGAACCTGTTCACATATTTCTTCTGTATCTTCAGTGCTAGAACATAACAATAATTGTGTATTGAAAGAATGAGTTTTGTAGACTTGGATTTGTGAAAGTTGTTGGGTTTAAAACTTCTGGAGAGCCGACCATGGTGGAGCACATGGTGGTGCAGCTCCCAGCAGCTCAGGAGCCTGAGGCAGGAGGATTGCCAATTGAAAGCCAGCCTCAGCAAAAGCCAGGTGCTAAATAGCTCAGTGAGACTCTGTCTCTAAATAAAGTAAAAAATAGAGCTGGGAATGTGACTCAGTGGCTGAATGCTCCTCAGTTCAACTCCCGGTACCCTGTCCACCTCAAACAAAACAAAACAAAACAAAAAACAAAACTTCTGGAGAATGAAGAGTTGGGGCTAGAAATAATCAGGTAGTCAGGGGCCAGGAGGAAAAGGACATGGAGAAGTGGGCAGAGTTCAAATTAAGCAACAACTCACAAATGGTTCTGTAGAGTTTGGCCTTATTCTATAGTAGTGATAGAGATTTAACTAGTGGTATTGTGTGTGAGGAAGTAATATAGACAGAGGCCAGATCATGAAAGACCCTAGCAAGTAAAATATCTTTTTAGAGGACTTCTGATAAATCCTCTAGGGAAGCTGAGTACTGTCTACCTCTGTATATCAAACAACTTTTGAAATATATTACTTGGCAGGCATAGAGTCCTTATTCTTCTGTTCACTTTGTTGATCAACGCTCTGTGTGGGGTTTTGTGTTTTTAACATGTGCAGCTTGTGTATCTTGAATTTACTTGGACTAGATGTAAACCCAGGAAGGCAGAGTTTCAGAGATTCTCTTTTACTTTTTCACTCGGTTGTGTCATATTTATTTACTAACCCTAGTCCAGATTATTAACCCCTTTGCTCTCTTCTGTAAAGCAGCAAGAAAGGTCATCTCCCAGCTCTACTCTTCACTTGATTGATCTGTGAGAAGCTCTTGCCCTTTGCTCATGGAAAGATTCTGAATATTTTCTGAAAAAAGTGATTTTTTAATTTTAATTTTTTGTAGTTGTAGATGAACAGCATGCCTTTATCTTATTTGTATGTGGTGCTAAGGATTGAACCCAGTGCCTCACACATGCTAGGCAAGTGCTCTGCCACTGAGCTATAACCCCAACCCCAAAAGTGGTTTTTGTATGAGCCTTTATAGGTTAGATGAATTGATAGTGTGGAGCCCATAGACAAGGTTGCTTGCATATCCAGAAATGGTAGAATAGTGCTCAAAATTTGACCATGGATTCAGTGACCTGACATGATGTCATCATGTAATCTTGGTGCCCAATGTTGGTCAAGGAAATATATACAAACTTGTCTGAATTTGTCTATGTATCATTTGAATCTAGTGATTTGGCTCCAAATATTATTAATATTGTGTCAAGTCTCTTCCACTGTGTCATTTGTAGACACCATCTGGGAATTGCCATCTGGGACATGGGATCTTGGCTTTCCTACAGAAGTCGTGTCTTCAGGTTGGCCACACCATATGTTATCACTGTGTGAACTGAAAGTAACCATTTGGTATGAGATAGCTAACATTCTGGTTACATGTACCACTTCCCTTTAGTCACACTAAAGGTGACAATTTGTATTTAATGTGATTCATTTAAGTTTTCTTCTCTGGTTTTCCTTTATGATTTATGCAGCCTCCTTTGGAAAGTCTGGCGACTGTGGAAGAGACTGTTGTTCGAGACAAGGCTGTGGAGTCCCTGAGGCAGATCTCCCAGGAGCATACTCCTGTTGCTCTGGAAGCTCATTTTGTACCTCTGGTGAAACGCCTAGCAAGTGGGGATTGGTTTACTTCTCGAACATCTGCTTGTGGTTTGTTCAGCGTTTGCTATCCCAGGGCTTCAAATGTTGTCAAGGCGGAAATTAGACAGTAAGATATCACATTATTTTAGAAAAACATTTGGGGCTCTTGGGGACACATGGCTGACAACTTACACAGTACTCTGTTACCAATGAGTTGCCAATACCAGGATAGTAGAAATGATGGCATCATTTTTATCATCAAGTTGAATGTACTAGTGTTTTTATTTTGTTACTTCTATGAGTAGGAACCTAATTACTGATATTTGTGAAGTAAAACCTTTAAAATGTCTGTGTGGGGGCATATTTAATTGAGAGTATATGGTAGAAAATACTTTCATTATTTTATGCTGCAGGCACTTCCGTTCCTTGTGCTCAGATGACACACCAATGGTACGACGAGCTGCTGCTTCCAAATTGGGTGAATTTGCAAACGTTTTGGAATTAGACAGTGTGAAAACTGAAATTGTTCCATTGTTCACTAATCTAGCTTCAGATGAACAGGTAACATTAACTCTTTAGTATTTAAGGAACACAGATATGTTCCTCTCCTCCAACATCTTAAATTTCTTTTGAGTAGTTTTGATTCTTACGTTAGGATTCTTTTTTGCAAAGTTAATACTTAATTCTGTCCTTAATCCTAACTTATCTGAGTGTCCTTATGTTTCTTTCTTAACCAGACCATAATTTTTCTCTCTTGTATTGGTAGCTGTTAAAAGAGGAGGCGGCAAAGTGGAAAGGGGAGTCCTAATTAAAAAGGAAGACCAAAACTGTATCAAGGGATAATATGCCTTTGGAAATTGGATGTATTGTGAGATGGGGGAATAAAGTTTCCTGGAATTTTGACTTTAAGATAAATAAGCATAGAATGTGCTATTTGATTTTTCACTAGTATATCGTATTGCTTTGCATAATAGCAATTTTAAATCCAAGGATCTAGATTTCATTGTAGTAGAAATAGTAATAAAAATAGCAAACACCTAAATAAAGTACTTAATACAGTTACAGTTGTCATTTTGTATGGGAGCAAGAGATGATGGCTGTGAACTCAGGTGGTAATAGTCAAGATGGAGAGAATCTCCATATAAGGTTTGGAGGTGGACACGATATTTTAATACTGTTGCATTAGATGAAGGGAAGAAGAATCAAGATGTTCTAGATGGTGGTGTCATTGCTAAGATGGAGAAGTGTCTGGAAGGAGAAATAGGTGTAGAGGAGGAAATCAGAAGTTCTGGAAGATAAGTGATTAACAGATTAACAAATATTTGTGCACATATATTTTAATTTAGCATCATTTTCAAAATTCAAAAATGCTTCCATAACCATGACCAAGAATAGTTCTGCCTTTTTTTTTTTTTAACTTTTTTACTCATTCTTATAGAAGAATGAGTGTGTCTTAGACATACAGTCAGTTATTTATTTATTTATTTTTTAAATGGGGATTAAGCCAAGGGGTGCTTTACCACTGAGCTACATCCCCAGTCCTTTTTTACTTTTTATTTATTTATTTATTTTTTTGAGAGAGGGTCTCAGTAAGTTCCTTAAGACCTTAATAAGTTGCTGAAGCTGGCCTCGAATTTACAATCTTTCTGCCTCAGCCTCTTGAATTGCTAGGATTATAGACCTGCGCCACCACGCCCTTCTTTGAGTTTTTATTTATTTATTTATTTATGTATCTTTAGTTTTAGGTGGACATATTATTTTGTTTTTATGTGATGCTGAGTATTGAACCCAGTGCCTCATGCATGCCAGGCGCACACTCCACCCCAGCCCCTCTAATTGAGTTTTAATTGTATATTTCCACTTGCTCAGAGAACAGATGTGTCACGTTCACATTTAGCATTTACATTGGAAAACCAAGTTCATTAATCCCATACCTTTCTAATATTTTCTGCTGTGTCTTTCTAGACATGGTTACCTCCCAGCTGAGTCTGTCTTTGATTCTCAACATTTAAATTCCACTGGGTGCTGTGGCACATGCCTATAATCCCAGTGTGTTGGGAGGCTGAGGTAGGAGGATCTTGAGTTCATAGCTAGTCTTGGCAACTTAGTGAGATGCTGTTTCAAAATAAAACATAAAAAAGGGCTGGGGATGTGGCTCAGTGGTTAAGCACCCCTGGATTCAATCCCTGGTACTAAAACTAAAACCAAACAAACAAAAAAACATAAAATCCATTTTTTGGGGTACTAACTTCATTTGTTCTGTATATTTCTTTCCAAATCACAATCTCATGCCTAAATTTTTCTTATTGCCACTTTAAACTGAATTTATTTATTTTAGTTGCTTATTTTCTTTTTTTAAAATACAGCAGCACTGCCTCACACCACACACAGTGCTCCGTGGCTCTTGGTGTACTAATAGAAAATTTTTGTTCCTTTAGGATTCAGTGCGCCTCCTCGCTGTGGAAGCTTGTGTTAGTATTGCCCAGTTATTGTCTCAGGATGACCTTGAGGCCTTGGTAATGCCTACACTTCGACAAGCAGCAGAAGATAAATCCTGGCGAGTGCGCTATATGGTAGCTGACAAATTTTCAGAGGTAAAATGACTAGACTGGCATTTTTAAGTATTAAAAAATAAAAGAAAAAAACTCACAGGTTTGCTGTTACATAAAAAGTTTGCGAATTAATTCTTTTGAATGGATAGTGTGACAAAAGTATATACTTGAACATTGCACTGTCTTGTTCCTATTCATTATTTTGTTGGTATATTAAAACCAGTAAAAATTCTTTTATAGCTCCAGAAAGCAGTGGGTCCCAAAATCACCTTAAATGACCTCATCCCCGCCTTTCAGAACCTACTTAAAGACTGTGAAGCTGAAGTCCGAGCAGCTGCTGCCCACAAAGTAAAAGGTTAAGGAATTTAATTTGTGTTGCAACATGTGTTATGTATTATTCATTTTAGTGCTTTTTTAAATGCCTGTGAATATACATATTTTTTATTTTAGAATAGGTTTCAAATAGAGATGATTCATTGTGTGAAAATGTCATATTGTCATATAAAGTTGCTTTTTTATATTTTAAGCCAAACAATCATTTTGTCTTGTTTCTATAAAAATGCACTTAAAGATTAGGTTTGTATGTGATACATAATGGCATAAAGATGATAGACAACCTGGAAGGTTTAAGAGGTGGAGGCTGGTGTAAGGTTGAAAAAAAAAAAAAAAAAGATGATAGACAACCTGCATTTAAAATAAGAGTCATTTGCTATGATTTGATTGAACTTGCAACTGTTAAATTTCATCATTTGACTATAAAAGGTTCTATGAAAGCATTATTTTTTTCTATTTCTCTTTTAGAACTTTGTGAGAACTTGCCCATTGAAGGTAGAGAGACCATAATTATGAATCAAGTTCTACCCTATATAAAGGTACTTATAATGTCAGTTTATTTTGTTTCACTCTGCCCTGTATGAAGTTAAATTAAACCTTACTTCAATTTTGTTTTTCTTTTGCCTTAAAGCTCTTGGAGTTTTAAGGGATGAATGGGCAGATATGTTAATTTATGATATTATTTATCACTTGTCTTTATTTATTATAATTTTAAAATACTTTTTGGTACTTAGAGCATTTTATTTGGGTCTCTTGCTTAACAGATGATCTGAGAAAATGTCAACTAATTAATCTATGTTGAAATAATGTTGTCTTTAAAATTCTTGGGAGATGGTATGGAGGTTCTATTGTCTTGCATAAAAGACTTAATTTTGATTTTATTTTAGGAATTAGTATCTGATACCAATCAACATGTCAAATCAGCTCTAGCTTCTGTAATTATGGGATTGTCTACCATTTTGGGCAAAGAAAATACAATTGAACATCTTCTACCTCTTTTTTTAGCTCAGTTAAAGGATGAGGTGAGTCTGGCTATAAATTTTCTTGCTTCTGATAGTCATTAATAGGATGTGATTTTGGCATTGGGTTTCACGAAAATAGGAACCAAACTATGGATTTTTTTTTTTTTTGGTGGTTCTAGGGATTGCACCCACGGCCTTGTGTGTGTGAAACTATGGAAACTTTTTATAAATTTTTTTTTTTTGCGGTACTAGAGATTGAACTCAGGGGCACATCAAGATACACCTCAGGTCCTTTTTATTTTTTATTTTGAGACAGTCTTGCTAAGTTTCCCAGTGGGATTTTTTTTTTTTAATATTTGTTTAGTAGTTGATGGAACTTTATTTATCTATTTATATGTGGTGCTGAGAATCGAACCCAGTGCCTCACACATGTGAGGCAAGTGCTTTACCATTGAGTTATAGCCCCAGTCCCCCAGTCTAGTTTTGAACTTGGCTATCCTCCTATCTGAGTAGCTGGGAGTATAGGTGTACATCATAGAGCCTGGCTATATAACTTATTTTAAAGCTTTTGGGATCTGGGGTTACAGATTACTCAGGAAATGGGGACAGGGATCTCTTAAAATGGTTTCTTTAAGTTAATATATCTTTGATTTAAAATGTTTTATTTAATTTTACAGTATCAGAAATTGTAATGATAACTAACATTTATTAAGTAATTAATATGTGCCAGGTATGATCCTGTTTTATTACATGTAATCCTCACAGTATTATGAGATTATTATAATCTTTTTTTTTAAAGAGAGAAAGAATTTTTTAATATTTATTTTTTAGTTTTCGGCAGACACAACATCTTTGTTTGTATGTAGTGCTGAGGATTGAACCTGGGCTGCACCCATGCCAGGCGAGTGTGCTACTGCTTGAGCCACATCCCCAGCCCTCTTATAATCTTAATAATATTCCTATTTTATACAGGAAACTGAGGGCCAGTGATCTTCAAATAACTTGCCTCAGGTTTTTCAGCAATGGCGGATCTGAGATTTGAATATATTTAATTTAATTCTAGAACCTGTATTCTTTATCATTTTATGGATTTTTCATAGAAAGTTCTGGTTCAGATCAGTTGCATTTATGTGTCTTGAATTATTTGTGTACTCAGTATTTAGTATTTCTTTTCAGTCTATCTCCCACACTCCTCATGATATTGGGGATGAAGCCAATGGCCTTATTCATGGTAGGCAAGTGCTTTGCTACTGAGCTACAACCCTACCCCTATACATTTTTTTCATTTGATTCAGTACTTTATAATTTTAAAATTTGCTTTAGTAGTTTTTACATTATGACAGTAGAACTTAAGACAGAAGACTTAATGTTTATATGTGGTTTTTGGGGACTTATGTATTTATATAGTGTCCTGAAGTTCGTTTGAATATCATCTCCAATTTGGATTGTGTAAATGAAGTGATTGGAATCCGTCAGCTCTCTCAGTCTCTCCTTCCTGCCATAGTGGAACTGGCTGAAGATGCCAAGTGGCGGGTCCGGTTGGCCATCATTGAGTATATGCCACTGCTGGCAGGCCAGCTGGTGAGTATATGTGCCTCATGAACCAGATGGTAGCATTAAATAATAGAGATTAACTATGGTAAATAGAAGGCCCTAAAGGCCTATCCGATTCTGTTCATTTAGATGCATGAGAGTATAATCTGGTTCTTGTTGCTTATAGGATGTTCTTTTGTTTTCATTATTGTATTAGCTTCTAATAAAAAAGGTATTATAGAAACACATTTCACTTTGCTGCTATCTAAAAGCAAAGCTATAGAAGGATATAATAAATTTCTTGGTGTATATACAAATTTTGTCATATTTAATACCTGTATGACATAAGGACTAATGAACAGAAAAGAAAAGGGAAATATGATTTCAAGATAAGTCAGCTTGACTTTTTGTTCAAGGCAGCTTCCCTGTTTGTCTATATACCAAGAAAAATACCCCTAAGAACCACTTTTCTGTTCTGATTAAAGGGAGCTAAGGAATCACCACCACATAGAAAAGTTTTTAATGCTAGTTATTTTGGCCAAAGCCTATATTATCATATTACCTGTTTTTGTTTGAATTTCATGATTAGTTTTAATCTGATATTACTGTAATCAAAATGTCAAAGCTGGACTTTATAGCCATATTGCTTTTTTTCTTCTTCAGTAGGTGCTCTAGACAATTCTAAGTTTGATATATTCTTACTTGTGTTGGTAGCATTTATTACAGTGTATTATAACTATTAAGATCTAGTTGAGGAGAAAATGATCTATTTTAGGGCAGGGGCTCTGTTTGGTGCTTCATTTTTAGTGGCTGCTGTAATGCTTGTAATTCATTAGGCTCTTAACATTTGTCGACTGTTGAATAAATAAGCTTGAGAAAACTCATGATATATGTCCCTGTTCTGCTGACATTAGACCAGTTTATACTTCCCCCTATTTCCATTATTTTCAGATCCCAATGTATGGGGTTTATTCTTTTCTTAGACCACTGAATTTGTATTGCTGATTTTGGTACATGTAGTTTATGAACATGCATCTTTTTTTATAAAATTTGAAGTGTCCCTCTTCTGATTGGATGACAAAGATATCAGCATATCTTTTTTAAAAAATTTGTTCTAATTAGTTATACAAGGCAGTAGAATGCAAATTTTGACACATCATATATAAATGGAGTACAACTTCTCACTGTTCTAGTTGTACATGATGTAGAATCACAATTCCTGTAATCATATATGTACATAGGGTAATGTCTGATTCATCCTATTCTTCCTACTCCCATTTTCCCTCCCCTCCCTTCACTCCTCTCTGTCTTATCCAAAGTACCTGAATTCTTCCGTAGTCCCCACCCCCTTATTGAATTAGCATCCACATATCAGAGAAAACATTTGGCCTTTGTTTTTGGGGATTGGATTATTTTGCTTAGCACAATATTCTCCAGCTCCATCCATTTACCTGCAAATGCCATAATTGCATTCTTACTTAAGGCTGAGTAATATTCCATTGTGTATTGCTGGAATTATAGGGTGAGATAACTTCCGTCACCCTTTTCCACTATTACTTCCAAATGCTGAGGGGCGTTTTCTGTTCTTTGCTAGTGACTGTCATGGATCATTCTCCAGGGTGGAAAGCAGCTAATGGGTTTGCTAAAAACTGAAGGAAGGAGGTTGAATTTTAGTGCCATTTCTTTAAACCCCTGCTTCCCCTAGACCTGCAGTCTCTAAGGGCTGTTAACTGTACAGAACAGTATAGAAGTAAGACTAATGATGCCTGTCTGGCAGAGTGACATACGTCAGTCAGTCAGTCATGGATGTTTTGTTTAACAATTTCAATCTTTTGTTATTATGTATATTGTCCTTAATTTTTCTTTTTGTGTGAAGATTTTTAAAAATCATTTAGTCAATTCATACAATTCTCTCAAGACTGACATAGTCCGGCTTATAGACCACAGTGAGTAAATATAAAGTTAAAGCACAAATACCAGGAAATAAAAGTTAATTAAATTAAGACTGAAGGAAAATCCTCTACCTGAAATTAAAAATTTCTTCACTCTTCTAGTTGTACACAATGAAGAACTTTTGAGAACTTTTATGGTAATCTTAGTGTCTGCCAGAATCTTTCAAAATCAATCACTGTTTCCAGAACTTTTAAATTACATCTCTTTATTTAAAATATTTCATCACTGGTCAGGAATTTCATTCCTAGAATTTTCATTTAGGAATTTCAAAAAACCAAAAGTTTAAACATTAGACCTCAGAAGGTAATCACCAGTAAAGTACATATTATAGTGCTTACCCATGTTGTATGAAGCCAGGGCAAGAGGTCTGTGTAAATCAGCCTGTACTGAGGTGGCCCCATTAATAAGAGAAGCAGGGATGGAAAAGCCAGCATGGTTCTACTTGAGACTTCACACTGGAGCCTTCTATTCTTGTTCCTGCTTTATTTTCTCTCCAGTACTTTCTCCCATCATCCCAGAAATAGTCACTTTAATTGGGGATAGCCAATTCTTAGAATTGGTTGTATTAACCAAAAAGGGAAGACAAGTAAGAGTTATATTGACAGATATTTTCCTGGGTAATTTATTTTTTACAAATGAATTTTGCTTCATAGACTATCTACATTGCATTCTTCCTACTGTTCTCTAGTATAGTGTCTGGCCTCTGAACACTTTCTTCTCTCCTGTTTAGCAAGCCTGTACCATCTCACTTATGCTTCTCTTATAATTTTTATCCAGTAAAATAGATTTATAGTTAGTAAATTCCATGGTTTTCTTTTTATGGTGGTTTCATGAATTCAGCTTATTGGAAAACAAGTTTTGTTTTTGTTTTTTAAATCATTCAGGTAATCTTTATAATAGAACATCTTAATTTCTAAACTTCAGAGATGTGTGTTAATGGAATCTTCTGTATCCATAGGGTGTGGAATTTTTTGATGAGAAGCTGAATTCTTTATGTATGGCCTGGCTTGTGGATCATGGTGAGTAGACAAGTTAAAAACATTATTATGGTAATTCTAGGATTTTGCATATATCCCATTCATGTTCACATACTTTGCTTTAGAAAGGAATCCTGCTCTGACCAAGAATTTTGTCTTAACAATGTAGTGGTGAAGAAAGTCTTTGATTAAATTCCTTTTAGCTTTCTCAGAATACAAATGTGACATTTTTACTTTATTTTTTTTTTTCTATCTTACCTTTATTTTTTCCATTATTCTTTGCCCTATTTTTTCCCCCCTTTTGTACTAGGGATTGAATCCAAAGGCATTTAACCACTGAGCCAGATCCCTATCTCTTTTTATTTTTTTATTATGAGACAGGGTCTCGTCTCAAACTCGTAATTCTTCTGCCTCGGCCTCCCTAGCCACAAGGATTACAGGTGTGTGTCACTGTGCCTGGCTTTTTGCTGTATTTCTTACTCATCTGATTGTGTCATCTTCAGACTCTTGTATATATACTTATTCCTTTCTTATCCTAGGGTCTTCTGCTTGCCATGCTGCCATTCAGCAACTATAGGTTAGACAGGGATTGAAATCAGATGGAAGACCTGGGTGGGAAGAAATGACTACTTGATTTTTCTGAGGTAACATATAGAGAAGGAGATATATGATAGGACGCTATAGTACAGAATTCTTAGGACTGGGAGACATTACCTGTTCCCTGGGATAGAGAGAGCTTGGATTTCTCTTTTGGGTGAAAGGAAGGTTTCCTGTTTGCTCTTTGGCTGATACTGCTATGATGCTAAGAGAGGGAGAGCTCAGAGCAAGTTAGACAAAATAGAGGAATGAGTAGCTGACTTTTGGTGAGGTCTCAAGTAGATGTATATGTACATATCTTCTTGTCTGCTAGGTAGCAGTGGGTAGCAGATATAATCTGTGTGCCACCTAGGTTCCATATCCAAATTTGGCCACTTTGTTGTGGCTTTAAACCTGATTTGGTGAATGTTGTTGAGTGCTTATGTGACATTGTCCTGTGAGCTTTGGTTCTGTATTTTGGTGGACATTATAAGCATTCTGTATCAGTTATGCAGTGTTCTATATATGCTTTATATCTGTATTGAGTTTATCTGTGAGTGCTGTGTATTTATTTGGGAGGAATGAGGATACCACAGGTAGCTGGTTTTGTTAATTGCATATTTGTATCATATGGGAGATCATATGGCTAAAAGTTATGAAAAAAAAGGAAGGGTGTTAAAAATATGTGACAATCTGTAAGGGTACACACACACACACACATATATATCTATATATAGATGATGAATACTTTTTTCCTCTAAAGTTTTCTTTAGATGGCCTGTTTTTTTCTTTTAAAATAAAACTTAAATTTTGCAAGTTATAGGAAAGTAATTCCTGTTTTCTTTAAAACTTTAAAGTGTTTATATTATTTCTGATAAATATTTTTTTATTAGTGGGAATGGTGTGTCCCAGCCGATCATTCTATACTTCCTTTGAAAGCTGGCATTCTAGATTAAGACAATTTTTAAAGTATTCCATGAGCAATCAATTTTTTTTTTTTTTTTTTTTTTTGGTACTAGGGATTGAACCCAGAGGCACTTAACCACTGATCCAGATCCTCAGCCCTTTTTCACATTTATTTAGAGAGAGTCTCTCTAAATTGCTTAGGGAGCTTGCTAAGTTGCTAGCTTTGGACTTACCATCCTCTGCCTCAGCCTCCTGAGCCACTGGGATTATAGGTGTGTGCTAGTACGTTTGGCAAGAATCAGATTTTTTGACACATATTCTATGTAGGCTTGTACTTGTATATAATTCAGCTTTTCTTTCTCATTTTGGGGGTTTTTTTTTTTTTTCTTCCAATTTGGGAGCTGGAGAGACCCTTGTTTATTTTCCTGTAGCAGAATACCAAAGTGGGGACGTAAGCATTCTTTGAACCAGTGATATGGCCATTCTGAAATTGTTCTGTGAGTTACTGGTAATCACAAGAGTTTTCTGTTCTTTTGCTTTTGCATTTCATTTTAGAATTTTTATTGTGTTTTATAACTTGAAGAAAAACTTTGCTTTTGCATTTTAGATAAGTATTATGTAGTGATCACTGATCATCTAGATTTTTAAAAACATTTTTCCTGGTTATTAAATTATTAAAAGAATATTGTGGAAAATCCAGAGAACTTTAAGAAAAAAAAAGTGTGATTAAGCAATGTTCCTATGGTTAAGTGGTCACTATTGATCAGAGGGAGGGATTTATAAGGAAAATTATATTTTTTATAGGAGAAAGGAAAAAAGAATCAATGTTGGTGAGCATAGATTGAATTAGACACATGAAGAAACGTTACTGATCAGCTGTACCTTAAGGGGAAAGAGAGCAAGAAAGAGCAGACAAGGGGAGAAAACAGAATTATGGAATGGTTTGCATTCTTCTGTCAACAAAATCAAGAAAAAATAAGAACATAGTAGAACATAAGAACTGGCCAAGTAGAGTTGAAGGCAGTTAAGGCCTTAGTCAGGGCTGAGTACTTGTGTGCTTGGTTTCTGGTTACTCTGGCAGTGTGATCCTTTCCTATGGTAATGGCATTGTGATGAGAAAAATCTCAAAAATACATTAAAAAACAGGAATTAGAGGAGAAGTAGATGTTCTAGTTAGCTCCACCTTAGAGGAAAGGGCATAGGAGGGGTTTGGGCTTAAAAGACTGGATATTACAGGAAAGAATATTTTTTGTGTAAAAAGGTTGACTTGAGCTTGCTCCTATGTATTTCTGAATGTTCTTGATAAATTGCTTCTCCCAGAGTCTTTGGTCAGTTTAAGCATTGGTAAGAAATTGTATAGTGATTTGCATATTCTGTTTTACTTGTTTCAACATCATTGCCTAGAAGGATCTATGGACTTTGGAAAAGTTCAGTATTCTTCTCTGGAGGCCTGTATAAATTATCTGTGCTCAGGGCTGTGGCTTGGTTAGCCATTCATATCCTACCTTGAAGATTGGGCCTGGAGACAGAAAGAGAATAAGGAATCACTACCCACTACCTACTACTCTTGATTTGTTATCTAAACTCAAATTTTGAGTCTTAGCAGACCTGTGAAATGAAGTGACACAGAGGTTTATCTTTGTGGCTGCATATACTAACTAATTGTGAGAAGGTAGTATCTCAGACCTAGATGATCTAAATTTATGATTATGTGTTCAATAAATGATTTTATAGGTGGTCATTAGATTTTAAAGTAGGCATATTTGTCAGAAGATATTTGACTTCTTGTCTGACCCTAAACCTTTTTATTGGAAAAGAAGCAAGTTGATCTTAAATTTTTATTTGCTCTTGTATAGATGACACAGTGACCTCTACAGTTTTCTACTTGATGTCCTTGTACTCTCAGCTTTTCTTGCCACTCTGGATAATCTTGCTAAAATACTACATTGGTCATCTGGTTCATCAAGAGTAAATTTAGCTTTCAGAAGTTCTGGGCCCATTCTTAACTGTCTAAACTCAGTCTCAAGAGATTGGAGTTTTTTCCTTTGTGCCCTGGGTACTTCCCCCGCCCTCCCTTTTCTGGAATTCTACTGCTCTTCTGTTTACACAAATCCTCCCTAATCTTCACAGCCCCAGTATAGTGCCTCTCTCTTTCCCTGAAGCTGTCTCAGACTTCCCTGTTCACTCCTCTAAATCCTATAGTCCTTACAGTCTTTACTACACAGTATTATACTTCACTGAAATCAGTCTCATGCTTTGCGACTTCTTGGATTGCCTTAGCTTTCCTTTCTCTGATAAGAGTATGTGATCTTTGAACTGATGTACTTTTTTTTGGTGGTGTTGGGGATTGAACCCAGGGCCTTGTGCACACGAGGCAGGCACTCTACCAACTAAGCTACATCCCCAGCCTTCTGATGTATTCTTTCTGTAGCTCATAGCTCCTTATAGACACTTGTATTTGTTAATTAATTGATGATGCATCTCATAAGCTTCTGGCTTCCCTTTTCCTTGAATATATACATTTTGAAACTGTAATACCAAATCAGTATGACTTGTGGCTCATAGTGCTTATCATTGTGGTATGAGTATATTTGGGGTATTGTTTGTAGAGAGGTTTTGGTTTTGGCTCATGTTTGATGTTGATATAAGTAAATAAGGTTATTAAAAAAAAAAAGTAAGGACTGACAATTTGTTTGCAGTATATGCCATTCGAGAAGCTGCTACCAACAACCTCATGAAATTAGTTCAGAAGTTTGGTACAGAATGGGCCCAAAATACCATCGTTCCTAAAGTGTTAGTAATGGCGAATGATCCTAATTACTTGCATAGAATGACCACTTTATTCTGCATTAATGTAAGTATTATGTAGCTATTACTAATCAACTCAGGCATGAAAGCAATTATTCACAAGTATATTTCTAAATTCTGATATGTACTGTCTTCTATTTGGGATATGTTTTTTACCATGATTAAATTTGGACAGTTAGAAAATGAGAGAAAATGTTGACTTTAAAATTGATGTTAAAATTTATAGTAGTTTTTTAATAGTTGCAACTTAGTTGTAAATTCTTGTCTAGTTCTCTGATTCTTTGAATGCTACCTTGTGTTCCTCATTTAGATGCTGAAACTAGAAGTATTTTTTTGTTGGTCAGTTACTTTCTTATTAAATATTAATTTGTTTCACTAGATTTTTTTTTTAAGTGTTTTAAGTATGCCATTTATTTATTTTTCTAGGCACTGTCTGAAGCATGTGGTCAGGAAATAACCACTAAGCAAATGCTGCCCATTGTATTAAAAATGGCAGGAGATCAAGTAGCAAATGTTCGTTTCAATGTGGCCAAATCGCTACAAAAAATTGGACCAATTCTTGATACCAAGTAAGATTTTAGTGCTATTCTTGTTTTAAACGTACATTTTAACTTTTACCTAGTAGGTAATAATAGCTGAAATTAAGTTATTTTCACTTTACCTAGGATATGAGTTTGTTTAAAGAAAATAATTAACCATTTGAGGATGTTTATTCTGACTTTTGTATTTAAGCTTAGTATATGTGTAGATCATTGTCCAAAGCTAATTTTGCTAAGAACTTCTTTAGATATTATTTAGTGTATTTTTCAAGTTTATAAATGTTTTAAAATAGTTTTTGTTTTAGCCAGGCACAGTGGCACATACTGGAGAGAATGAGGCAAGAAGGCAAGTTTGAGGCCAGCCTAGGCAACTTAACAAGACCCTGATTATGGGGAGTATGGGGGGAAGGACTAGAGATGTAGCTCAGTGATAGACTTCCTGGGTCAATTCCCAGTACCACCAAAAAAAAAAAAAAAAAAAAAAAAAATTAATTTTAGACTTCAGAGGAAAAAAAATTACTATGGAGCATATGCATAATAAAGGATTTCTCTGGCTCACTAGACTGCCTTTCACAGATAATACTTTTAAATTTTAGTGCTTTGCAGGGAGAAGTTAAGCCAGTATTACAGAAGTTAGGTCAGGATGAAGACATGGATGTCAAATATTTTGCACAGGAAGCTATAAGTGGTATGTATTTTATTTTCTGCCTTGAAGCTTACACTTTTATTAATGAGGAATTAATTTCTATTGTGTGAGGGGTGGAAAGTGGGAAGGGTAATAAGCATGTTGGCAAAGAGGGAGGGTGCTGAACTCCTGGAATGCTGGGGCCCTTCTTTGGTTAGAAACTTCTTGGCCTGCCACTCTCTCCTAAGTGAGCAATCCATTTTTCCAGTTCCACATCTAGGATTTGGTAGGATTATGATTCTTATTGACAAGAATAGTTTTAGTTTGGACTTTTAATTAGTCTTTAAAGTTTAACTCCTGATTAGACTATAAGAGTAAAGAAACTGACCATAGTGAGATGTTAGTTTCATGCATTGGGATCATTGTTGCATGCTTAACCTTCATATAGGTAGATTGTTCATGAACTTTCTGTATCACTAACCTGATTTTGTTTGGAATTTTCCAGTTCTTGCATTGGCATAATGAGGAACAGGAGGGAAAAGCCTTTACTAAATTCTTATCACATATTTCTAGTCAATGTGTCCTTAAACTGGGTGGAGAAAAAAATGGAAAACCTTCAAGATCTCATCCAAGCAAATGGCAGCAACTTAGAAGAAATCAAATTTCAGTGACTTTTTTGTAAAGATGAATGGGATTGTTTTTTCACTCATCTCTTTGTTGAGATAATTAATTAAGCCATTCTTATTGACCAATTCCTGATACTCTATATATAGTCATCTCTTGATTGTCTACTGTTGTTGTGTCCCTGTCTCCCCCCTCCCCCCAAATCTGGGCTTCTGCATCTCATGTTGAACCAGGCCCCAGCCACTTTAAATATTCTGGAAAAAGGCTGGATGGGTTTGGATTCAGACATGAAGTGGAGTGATTCTTTTAGTGTTTACATATATGTGTATACCCTCCACCTTTCTAAGTTAAATGTACATGGTTTAGAATAATTTACAAACTCTATATTGGGAGATAGATTGAAATTTGAATGTAGTAAAAGCCACATTTTCCTAGATTATGATGGTCTGCATCAATGTCTTATATGAAAGGGGAATGTGGAGGCTCAGGGTTAATGTATTTGGTTGTTTTGATTTTTATTTCCTTGATTTTGACTGTAATCATGTCATTTAGAAACCTAGTGTGGATGTATCTTGCTGCTAACGTGATGTTGAAACTTAACAATTTCAACAGCTCACCACTGTGACTGCCTTGAAAGATTTTTCTCTTTCCTGAGAAACTAACTTTAGTGCCTACTAATAAGCAGTAGTTCTACTGTTTGATTTTAAGATTACAGTTTTGTCTTTCAAATTAGTGTAGGAACCACTACTATGATACTGTGTGGATTTCCTGCTCTTTACCTGGTTCTGCTTCCAGCAGTATTAGCATCCCATTCTTTGTCTATAGTAGCTTTCCAAACTGAAGTTTCATTGCTAATTATTTTGGTGTGGGTGATGCTAGAATCTTTTTGAAATGTTTGTTTTTCTACTTTTACAGTACAGCCTTATTAATTCATTCTAGAGTTGAAGATAATGGGTTAAGCTGAAGAAGTAGTTGCTGAACAAATTCATAGTATGGAAGGAAACCTGTTTGAACTACTTAAACAGTTTTAAAGCTCTCTTTAGAAAACACCCATTTACCAATTGACATGCCAGTTACCAATCAGTCACTCTTTTCAGTTATATCACAAACCTTCCATAGGATCTCTGATAGGTCACACACAGATAAATTCAGTATACTTTTTGTCCTTGAAATATATACATTTATGTTTCATGGAGAATTTAAATATTTTTCTAGTAAATTTATTTACATTTTTCACCTAATCAAACTTACTTTGTCTCTAATAAGTTTTAGTTACTGAGGTTTTACTGTAACATTTTTCTCTGAGTGCATCTTGCTATAGTAGTTTGGTATTTCTAGTTTTGCTTTTTGAATTGTTGATTTCATTCACAAGCTCTTTTAAATCTTGTGAGCCCTTTCTGTTTTGTGAAGACCCAAGAACTATAAAATTTTGTACTTTATAACTATTACATGAAACCAATTTTGACTATTTTCAAATTATCTTACCTTAGGAAAACAGAACAAAATTTATATCAGAAATTATCTGTCTGCATTTTATACTGCCAAGTGATCTTGTAACGAGATTCCATTTTATGTGTTCTTGTGTCATGGATTAAATATTTTCCTAAGCAAAAATGTTTTTCTGCATTCACATTTTAATATTGTAAACTGTTACGTTATAAACATTTTAATTTTAGTTTCATGGATCTTATTTGTTTTATTACCTACAGGTTATGTTCCTCTTTATTTAATTCCACACATGATTCTTGAAACAAACTTGCACTGAAACCATTCTCTGCTTTACTCTTTGGTTGGAAATGCCTTTGGTTTGGGGTAGACTTTTAAAATGACCTTGTGGCTCCCTCTGGAGAGCCCTGGGCATAATCTTTCTGCTCTACACCTTGAGTTCTTACTTTCTGAAATGTGGGCCGTGGAGCAAAACAGAGTCTCTCTTTTTAGGTGGTCCCTTAGGGACTTCATTGTTTCTTTTTGACTTAAACAATAGGAAATCCGTTGGAATTTAAAAGAATTTATTCTTTAGAATAATTGTTCTTTGGCCAATAACTTGGTCATTTTCTCCACGGATTAACTTTTTTTTTTTTTTTTTCAATGTTGACCAGATTGCTCTTAAACTCCTGGACTCAAGGGATTCTTCCTTCTCAGCCTCCCAAGTGCTGGAACTACAGGTGTGTTCCATTGCACCCAGACAGGATTAGTTTTCCCATCTTGATTTCACTGGAATGTAAAGTCTAGGAGCTCTATGAGGACAGGGTTTTTGTCTGTTTTGTCTTCTATTATCACCAGTGACTGGATCAGTGTCTGGTCTATATAGTGGGTGCTCAATAAAAATGTGTTCAATGAATCAATTTATAAAGTCTCCTCTGTGTTGCATGCGTGGAACAAAGTCATCAAAGGTACTTGACAACTGTCTCATTTTCCCACTGACAAAATCTAAGGTTTTCTACTCTTAGGAAACAAGCTTTATGTGGCCCTTTTCCAGTTCCACAGCTTAGGCAGAAGTTCCTTTTGGATTTGACTGATTGCCTTAAACATACATTGCTGTTGCTTTTCATCCTAGGCAGTTTATATTGTTTGGTTTTCCAGGAAAGGAAAGCCAAGACATACACAATATACATTGATGCCAATAAAAATGTCTCATCAATAATGAAGAAACACCTTGGTATTTCTATAATTTGTGTGGGTTTTACCCCTCATGGGCTTAAGAGATCAGATCTTGTTTCTCTGTGCTGCCAAAAAGATAGGAATATGAAGATGCATCTTGTTTCAAAAGAGTAAACAAATTAATGTGTGGTTTTGAATGAGGCTTTGATGAAATAAAGGGCAGACTTCAGCTCACAGAAATACCATCACTTGGGTACTGTAACACAGGACTGTGGTGGTAGTGCTGGGGTCTTTGTTGGACAACTGTCTGGATCAGCACAGACAACAGCTTTTGAGCTGCCTTGTGCAAGCATTCAGGGTGCTTGCATAGACCTCCAGGGGAAATAGACATGTCATCCCTGGTCCATAGTTACACTGTCTCAGGGCTTTCTTGTTGCAGTGTTTAACCACTGTTGTTACTGAGCTGAAAGTCTGGTACTTTCCTATAAAAGTTACATTGTTTCCATTCTCCCAGGGATGGCTGGGTAGGGTGGCCAAACCAGTTGGGTGCTTGTCCTTTCCTCTCACCTTTTCCTGAAATTCCTCAGACATTTTGCTTTCTCTTGGTACTTAACCTTAAAACCTAGATATAGCATGGTGAAGGAGACCGAGTGTTCTTAATTTAACAGATGAAGTGATTGCTTTCCTTTGATCCATCCAGTTCTTTGCTCCTCTCTCCTATTCTCACATGTCTCCAGTCCTTTCTGTATTTAGAATAGTCTTCCAATTCCCTGTGTGCCTCCACAGGGCTGCTGTTTCCAGGAAATTACATAATGTTCAGTTGAGATGGAAATCTGGAGGATGAAGTTTAATTACTCACTAGGTAGAAAAGCCAAGTCATTTCTTTCTCCAGAATTGTCTTAAACTGATATTATCAGTTCTGAAAGGAGTCAGGTCTTTTCTCTTTGTTCAGAGTTCTGTATAGCAAGGTGTGAGGAACCCCCAGCTGGTGCCCTAAACCCAATGGTGAAGATTTCTGAGGGGGAGGCACTTTAAGGTTCTGGGGTGAGCTGGCTTTTTCTGCACAGGGGCCCATATCCTCATAGATTGTTGGGCTTCCCATTGCAGTACTGGAGCAGCTGAGAGCATCCTGGCTGGGAAGTGCAGGTGGGTTTGGGAGGGTTGTGCCCTGGTCAGGGACAGTCACAGTGCTGCTGTCTATCTCTAGTGGTGGCACAAAGGCTGAGGAAGCTAGATTTTCCTGTGAAGGACAGTGAAGAGCCCAGCGCCCCTGGGGCTGACAAGAACCATTTCCTGAGACCCAGAGTGCTTGGAGAGGACACTGGGAAGGTAAGTGCCCCAGACACCTGGGGCCAGAGTCCTGCCCACTTAGGGCTTAGGGCAGCTGGTGTGTGTGGCCTGGTTGGATCAAGATGGGCAGAGGCAATACCTCATACTCTGCCCTGGGGAGATAGCTGTTTTTAAAGGCCAAAAGAGTATATACATTTTTAAGCCTCCTGCTCTCTTACTTCTGGAAATGTGTTTGGAGGTGGTGGCCTCACTTTCCAGAGCTCTGTCTCTCCTGCAGCTTGAGACCTATTGTCTTCCCCCTATTCAGAAATGGCAAGACCCATGCAGAGGACAAAGGTGAACTGGTGAAGAGTTGCTTGTAGAAACAGGCTGTTTCCAGCCTGTTTGCTCAGAGACTAGAAAATTATTTTTCACAATTCCTCCTGGGTAGTCATTTTCTTTTAAGATAAAAATCATCTCTGTCAAGTTTTTTTTTTTTTTGTTATACCCATCTCAATATTTTAAAAGCTCCATTTGATGCTACTGCTTGGAGAAGGGTACAGATTTCCAGCTGAAGGTGGTGTTGGCCATGGCCCCAGGGCTGTTCAGAGGAAGGGCAATTTGACTCACAAATGTATTCAAAAAAGGAGCACAGTGGGGCTTAGCTGCTCTGTGCTGATGTCAAGTTGCATTTAGTTTGCTGGGAAGAACTTGGCATTTTCACACCCTAATTGGTTTGCTTGGTGAAAATTCTACCAAGTTTGTTTTTTAGCCAGGTGCAGTGGTACCTGCTTGTAATCCCAGCTACTTAGGAGCTGAGGCAAGAGGATTGCAAGTTTGAGGCCAGGCTGGGCAATTTAGTTAGACCCTGTCTTAAAAAATGATAAGGGTAAGGGATGCAGTTCAGTGGTAGAGGCCCTGGGTTTAAACCCCTGTATAGGAGGTGGGGGGATGCCTTTTAAATCTCCATGGCTTTTCATTTTATGTGAACCGAGGTCTTGGAAACTATTCTTCCTGTTCTCCAAGTCCTGAACAGCAGCCAGTGTACTTGCCTTCCTGTGGGGTTGCATACTCTTTTCCCCAGGCCTGAGCTGTTGGACTACCTACAGTTCAGGCAGCCCTGGGCCTTCTGCAGTGATTGCCTGGTAAGAGGAAGTGCTGAATGACTGTTGCTCACAGCCTCCTCAATTCCTGGGCCCTGACAGACATCTGAGGTGGCCAGCCCTTTGCATCTTTATGTTCACTTCATATAACTTAAGGGAGAGACTTTGGCTGAATGAGTGAGAATAACCATTATATTTTCTTAGGCCTAAACCAAAAACTTCTTAGGAAGAAAAGGAGATGTTTTTGTACAAATTCAGGGGTACCTGGCCATGTCATTAAACACAGAGTATGTACCTGAAGAGTGCTGATCATTGAGATGCCTCCTGCCGTGGCTGACTTGCTCAGCTCTGAAGGGGGCTCAGAAGCTGAGGACAGCATTAGCTGCATTCCTCCCTCCTGGGTAACTATAGCATCTTGTCAAGCACTTGACCAAATCTTATTCAATTCTCACAATAGCCTAGGACTAGGTTTTGCCATTTGTTTCAGATGGTCATGAACTTTCCCCTAGAGGCTAGCTGTGCTAGGCCTCTGGGCTGCAGTTCATTAAACCCAGAAAAATTTGTCCCTTGACTTGGGGAGCCTTCCCTATATTTGTTTCATTTAAAGAAAATGAGGGTAAGATAGAAAGGGAATTGGCTGTTGCCAGGCAGAGGCCTGCATGTCAGGGGCCAGCAGCCAAGTGAGTGATCCAGGAAGTCATCCAATTGCAAACCAGAAATTGTTCTTAACTCCTTACTGTCTCTGGTGCACAGCAAACACACTGCATCTGCCCCAGATTCAGTGGGGTAAGAATGAAAATCCAGTTTTTACAGCCCTAGGAACTGTCCTCAGTTTTTGGCCTCATGGTCCTGAGGGAACCATTTGACATTCCAGGGTTGTGCATGCTGCTTGGTCCAAAAGGGATCTCATGGGTTGAGATCTGGGTCCTCTTGAAGGGTGCCTCCACAGTGCCTTAGAGATGGACTCTTGAAATCTACGGAGCCTTCTGTACACTCGATGTTATGTATCCCTCATGCAGGACCTGCCAGGGAGCAGTGTGGGCCACCTCCCACACCCTGCCTCCCTAAGGTCAGCTCAGCTACTCTCTCTTGGATGGTTTGCAAGTTGTTTTCTGATGACAGTGCTGCTGGCGGGCCTTTCAGGCAAGGGTTAACAGGAGATTTGTTTATTGAATCTGAAGTAGCTGTCACATGATTTTAATCAAAACACCATTACCCTGACAACAGTGATGTCAGTCTTGTTATTGCAGGAAGGAGCAGCTGTGAGGGACATTCAGTCTCCGTGCTGAGCCTAGGTTTGGATACTCAAATCAAGTGAAGCATCCATAAATAATGGGTGCAGACACTGGTTTATGGGATCCACCCTCCTCTTCCTTTTCTTCTTTGGACAGTGTGTCCTGTTCATTGACCAGAACCCCAGTCCCTGTACCTTGGGTCTCAGCTAAGGCTGCACCTTCTGTATTCCTTGCTTCTACCCTTGGTTCTGCTTTTCTGTTTTCCAATTTTCCCAGACTCAGAGAGTCACTTGGGTCCCTGGGGTCTGTCTCTGGCCTGTAACTTCCGGCATCTGTCTTTTTTTTTTTTCCTGAGATCTAAACCTAATGAACAAAGCTGTTTTAGTTAGCCTGAAGTGGGGGCCATTCATTTGACATCTCTCAGGAATCTGGCTCATACCTTAGATTGAGGGCTGGGGTGTGTAATTGCTCCCTGAGGGTGTCAAATTCTAAGGAGCCCAGATGTAGATGCCTGAGGTAGGAGCTCAAGGGCCCAACCTTTGGCCAGAGGATTAATTATCTTGAACCCAAAGACTACAGGAGTCCAGTCATAAGACCAAAGCCCAGGGATGTCTGATACCATCACCCCCAGAAGCACTCCAGCTAGGGCGTTTGGATCCCAAAAGTCACCTAGAGGTCAGAAGTAGGTCAAAGGGCCAGCAGAAGCTGTTACCTTAGGCTCTGGCCTCCTTTCTGGGTCTTTACCACTGTGGGGGCTTAAGGACTGTCTGTGCACAGGAAGAGTTCCCTGGGTCTTCCAATCCCTCTCCATTCGGAGGGATGAAAAAGGCCTTCTAGATGGGATATAGGTTCTCAGGGATGGCTTATGCTGTTATGTTCTGCAGCTCAGAACTCATTTTAAGGAATCAAGAAATCCTAGAGCAAGTGCTCAGAAAAGGGCACTTTTCTTAAATCTGATGAGAGATTTCACAGGCACCAAACAGCCATTTTCTAGTCTGGAATTGGGACAGTCAAGAGTTAAAGTAAGACAGGTAAAGTGAATGCTGTAACTAGCTCTCAAGGGGAGTTGGTGGAGTTGTATGGATGCTCTCATGTTAGAGGGCTGTGCCATGCCAGGCCGAGTTTGAATCTCACAAC